TCCACTGAAAACCATGTTATAGAAACAAATCCAATAAATGTTCATGCTTTGTTACATTATGAAGATCCTGAGAAACGGGTCGATCGTATGCTACATATAGTTATGTAAAAACAGTCAAATATAAAAAAAGAGTCGAAAAATGAATAAATATTGTGAAAAATATCAATTAGATTAGTTTAATCAAAATGAAGGTTTTTACATGCCATTATAAAGATTTGATATTAATTTCTGGGGAGGGAGAAGTCCGGCCACACCTCCTTGCGGTTCCCCCTGGACCCTTGGAATATTCGACCAAATTCTGGTTCGTTTCCAAGGTGACTAACGTGGCAATGGCACCCATTTTCCAATGAAGATCTCCAGCAATGCTACCGCGTCCGGGGTAACCACCGCGTCAGGACCTGCAGCCTGGGCTCCTAATGAGAATTCTACTACGAGGACACAATTCAATCTACTACAGCTCAATATAAATGGCACCCAGAGGAAAACTGAAAAGCTGACTTGTTCAGCCAAGATAGTGGACATTGCTGCTGCTGTGATGGAGATGCATGGAGACATCTGAGACTCTTCTTGGACACGACAACAACAACATATTAATTTCCTTTTTCAATGTTATGATTTTTCCTATTTTAAATTCTCTATCAGTTTTTTACAGTGTAAATTATATATAATTAATACATTCGAAAGACAAAATATTAGATTATATATTTACACTCATGGATAAACCGTATAGGAAATAAAATGTCTTGTGGTTGCTGTATATGTAGCGGTGGACTGCCATTTTGAAGGAGACAGAGACAAATTTATACACACATGGTTATTTCATGTGTCTTCAATAAAATTCATTGTGTAATAATTATCTTACAGAATTATTGACTGAATCCCGATTTAAATACTGACAGGTACAACTTCTAGTGTAGTGTAGAGAGTAGTAGATTAGTAACAATTGTAGATTTCATATAATACATATTATATTCACACATTTATATATTATATATGTTACATTAAAACTTTTATTTTAAAATTATAATTCCCAGATCACAAATTACTCTGTTAATCGACCGCCAGAGGTTGCCGCTTTCCCTATGTAAACGCATTGGTGTTGTTTCCCGTTGGCCGGCTCAAATCTTTTGTAGATATGTAAATAAGTCTTTTGTTTTCTTTATTCTTACGCCGCATTCAGGTAGTACTTTTCTCAAATAGGTATTCTATATTCCATAGGCTCAAATAAAGCAAATAATTATCAAAACTATTTTTATTATTTTTACCACGACTGCAATAAAACAAACATACTTATGTATCCTTCAACAACCTCAGGAAATAAAAAACAAAATAACATTCCGAAATTAACAAAAAAATATTTTTAAATATATAAGTTATAGGAAAATATTTCTGCTCGATTTAGGTTAAATTGAGGATTATACTATATTAATGCAGTCGTGGTTAAAAATCTTGAAATAATAATAATAAAAATAGTTTTGATCAGTAATTTAATTTAACTAAAGGAATATATTAAAAAACATAGTTTGATTCAAGTACTGCCTGGTTTAAGGCGTAAGAATAAAAAAATGAAAAACTTATTTACATAATGTACAAAAGGTTTGAGCCGGCCATCGGGAAACAACAACAATTATTTTAAAAATAAAAATACAACCTTTCGCAATGAGTTTCTTTTATTATAATATACGCGAGCTTTCGGGCTGGAGCCGCCCTTCTACAGGCAACAATGAACTATTTGATTTTTTGAGAGACAGTTATATACATTTAATTTGTTACAAATTTCACATAAATTAATTTATGTAACAAATTTGTAACAAATTAAATGTATATAACTGTCTCTCAAAAATCGAATAGTTCATTTTTGCCTGTAGAAGGGCGGCTCCAGCCCGAAAGCTCGCGTATATCATAATAAAAGAAACTCATTGCGAAAGGTTGTTTTTTTATTTTTAATATTTGTAGCGCAAAATTTTTCGTTTACTTAAACAATGATTTTATATAGTCAAAACGGCGACCTCTGTTGGTCGATTTAACAGAGTCATTTAATTTATGAAATATATTTGAAAACATTTCTTTATATAACATATATATTAAAATCAGAAAATGGATATCCTGACCGCGTTCACATGACCCTTTTAGATGGCAGAGCGCCCTCTAAAAAGTTTCATGTAAACTTGGTCAGGATATGCCTTTTTTATTTTAATAGCAACACCTGAGAGAAAGAGAAATTAATTTTTAAAGATTACTCAAACATCCCTATTTTATTCAACTTAATTTGTAGGTTTATAATTTTTTGAAGTTATACAATAAAATAAAATGTTATTGGAAATATAATTAATATTTTGAAAATAGAGAAATTCATAAATAAATCTTTAATTAAAAAGATATATATTGAATCAAAATATCATTTTTTACCAATATTTCAGTTGTCTGAACGCTAACCTTTATCAAGGTGTTATAACATATTTAATGTGTGTCAACAACAAACTTCAGCGCCACATTACGTCAACAGAATTATTTTTTCAAAACATATATTTTTCATATTATATTGAATATTTTTAAAACATAATTCTGTTGACGTTATGTGGCGCTGTGGTGAGTTTGTTGTTGACATACATTAAATATGTTATAACACCTTGATAAAGGTTGGCGTTCAGCCAACTGATATATTGGTAAAATAAATTATATTTTGATCCAATATATGCCTTTTTAATTAAAAAATAATATTTTGAAATAAATTTCTAAACTGACTCAAATAATATAGTTATCTGTATTTGTTGTTGTGCAGAGATTTTTTTTAATCTTACCTTTTTAAAGAAAATCTTTTATAAAATCAATAAGTTCTATTATCCCACAAAAATTATTTATTATACATTGCTATACACTCATCTACACTTCACCAGCAACTAACTGAAGAATAAAATTTATATTTACATTCTTCAGATATGCTAATAAATCTAATTAAAAAAATACTTTTTACAATAAGGAATTTGTATACCTAACTTCTAACAGCTTGAACAATTTACATATTTTCTTCCAAGAAATTTCAAGATGATCACCTTCAACAGTATTATTAGTCAAATTAATAAATTGAAAAATAATAAATCTTTATATGAATAAATATCTAATAGTCTATTAATGATTAATAAATCTATATAACAACCCATATCAATAGAAATTTAGCAACTGTGGAGCTATATACGTTGAAGTAATTGGGATAAATAATTCAATATAAAATTCAACACAGTTAGTTAAATCATACTTTAATTATAAACTACCATCAATTCAAATTAAATTCTTATGGATTATCACGTCAACTGATGTAAATTTACATGTTTAATTTTATATTAACGTCAGGAGATTTATTTAAATAGGTAAAGCTATCTCACATTTGTTCTATTCATGGATTAAAAGAGACGGAAAATAGAATAAAACTGAATTTAAGAGGTAGGATTATATTTTCAACTTCTGATGTGAAGCAATTGAATATATATATATATATATATATATAGTAGAATTAAATATAATTTATATAAATGATAGTTGTAAATTAATGGTGATTAAAACAAATTATAAAATATTAAAATATTATACTCTCAATATTCGACATTATACTCTCAAATCAACATCGACATTTTCTATAACTTTCCTTTAAAATATTATAAAACCTTTATATATATATATATGTTATATAAAAATTTCATTTTATTTTAAATTATAATTTCATAGATTCAAATACTCCGCTAAATCGGCCGCCAGAGGTCATTTTTCCCCTATAAAAAATTCGTTGTTTTATCCCAATGGCCGGCTCAAAACTTTTGTACATTATGCAAATAAGCTTTTGTTTTCCTTGTTCTACTCGCCTTAAGCCAGGCATTACTTTTATCAAATTATGTTCTTTTATATATTCCTTAGCTCAAATAAAGAATTATCTGATCTTTAATATTATTATTGTTATTCTTTCAAGATTGTTAACCACGACTGCATTACCATAATCCTCAACATGATCTAAATCCAAGCAGAAAATATCATTCATCTTTTTTATATAACACTAGACGAATGACCCGGCTTCGCTCGGGAATTCCACCGAGTGCAATTTCCTTCTTACTGAAAGAACATTACTATACGCCGTTAAGATGCTAATAATATGTACATTTAATTATTAGGAGAGATTTTGCATATTGCTTGATATTAGAATATTTTATTAAGTTAGTTTTTATTTTTTGCATATTGACTATTGTTTGTTTAATTTTAGTAATTATCATATTGACAGTAACTTTTATTTATTATATAAAAAAACAAAGGCCAGAACAAAAATTAATAAAAAATACGAAAGCCATTGTTTACATACAGTAACGCTGATTTTGTAAAGTTTTTTTTTTTAATTGCAATGTGTGCATTTACCGTAACTTAGTAATATAAATTTCTCTCTCAATAATTTTGTAAAAAAAAGTGACGCTCATATAAAAAGATATTTAAAAAAAAGTACGCAAGCAACTTGAAAAGAAATGCAGAACGCTCATTGGTCGTTTAATTGTCCTCGTGTTGTTACTTCGCCTCGTATTTACTCCGCGTAAAAAAAAGTTCTTCAAATGAAAAAAAGAAATAGCCAAAAATATTCATCAAAATTTAGCCGAATATTTTCCTCAGGTTTATAAAAAGCAACATGCAAAATTTTGTACCAATTGGTTCAGTAGTTTTTGAGTTTACCGCGAGACAGGCAGACATTGACTTTTATATATATACTAGGCGAATGACCCGGCTTTGCCCGAGAAATCCCTTGGGTTCAATTTTCTTCATACTAAAAGTATATCAATAATAAATATTAGAAGTGCCATAGAATAGCAATACAGAAGTAACACATAAACTACAGGAAAAAGTGTGTGTGATGGCAAAAATTGTATTATATTAGTGTTTAGGTATTTGAATCAATTAATATAGTTGATATAATAATATATATTTATATTATATATAATATAAATGAGTTTTAAAAATTGTAAAAAAAATGCATCGGCCGGGAATCGAACCTGTTTCGAACGCGCGCGCATTCTACCACTGAACCACCTATGCTTAAAAAAATGGCCATATTTAGGGATTCATTCCATTCCGGATTAGTCCGCGTAAAAAAAGTTATTCAAATGGAAAAAAGAAATAGCCAAAAATACTAATCAAAATGCAGCCGAAAATTTTCCTCAGGTTCATAAAAAGCGACATGCAAAATTTGGTACCAATTGGTTCAGTAGTTTTTGAGTTTATCGCGAAACAGACAGACAGACATTGACTTATATATATATATATTATATAATATATTAGATAATAAAGGCATATATTGTATTTAATAAAATATTTATTTTGCCAATATTTCGGTTGGCTGAACGCCAACCTTTATCGAGGCATTACATTTTTGTATACATAAACTCAGCGCCGCATAGTGTTATAATATCACTGCTGAAATAATTTTTAAAATACAAAGTAGGTGAGGGAAATTGTGCAAGCAAAAAAATTATATAAAAAAGTTTCAATCAGAATAAGTTGAATATCCGAAATGTTGAAAGAGAAAAAAATAATGAGGTCTATCCTATATTTTAAAATAATTGTATTAAGAACATAAAATATATAATTAATCAATAAATCTTTAAGAGATAAATGTAAAAATATTTGTATCTATAACAATATATATGTACATATTATATAATAAAAAAGCATATATTGGATTTACTAAAAGATTTATTTTTCCAATATTTCGGCTGGCTGAACGCCAACCTTTATCGAGGCATTACAATTTTGTATACACAAACTTATATCAATTGAAAAAGCCCTGTACGATTTATAAGTAAATAAAACAAAGCATCAAGGGCTGCGTTTCTTTATTAAAAAGCTCGTATATATTTGTTTTAATAAAGAAACGCAGCCCTTGATGCTTGGTTTTATTTACTTACAAACTTATATATATATATTTATATTGTTAATGTTTATTAATACCTCAAAGGTTCTCCAATATTCATTTAATCACCATAGAACTTAAGAGAAATGGAAATTCTTTGTAATCGCTTGTCATCTGTTTTTTTTTTTTTTTTGTTTGTTTTTTAAGGGGACAGAGGCAATTTTGTTCATACTTGGTTATCTCGTGTATCTTCAATAAGATCACTGTGTATCAAATATTTTTCAGAGGTATTGTCTTAATCCAGATATACATGCTGAAAGGTACACCTTCTTTAAATTTGTCTATTAAGTTTATTGGCAAATTTTAACAAAGGAAAGCTTGTTTACCATGGTTTCGGGATATAGCTTTTATCGAATGATATGCTTAAACTAGAATTTTGACCTGATATTTTTCATAACCATTGCATTTAATACTATGGTTCTAAAAAAGCATTGTTGAAAAATATGCATATACTTAATGAGGTACCTAGTTCTTTAAAATGCATTAAAACAACGCATTTTTGTTTAGAAACCTAGCACCAAGTAATGGTGGTAAAAAAATAGCCAACTCTCAAATCACCATGATGTAAAATTGATTAAACAAATAAATGGTCTAGAAATATACTGTTAAATAAATTAAAATCCTCTGGAGTAACTTGATAAAGAAAGAAAAATCAAAGATAAGGAGGATAAGTTTCTTTTATGAACAAATGATCAAGCTTTCGGGCACAAAGTCGCCCTTCTACAGGAATAAAATTATACAAAATCAAGATTCGTCTATATATATACAAATATTTAGTATAAATAATAAATAAATATTAGAAAATAGAGAGATAACATTTAAGTTTTATGTCTGATGTACGAATCAGGTAAATCAAGTGAGAGTCTCGTGTCTCGAGTGTAAGGCCTTAACAAATTATTTTTAAGAGAAAAAAATTATATTTTATGTGTGATATACAAAATAAATAATAAGAGAAATGTGAATATGCTAATATTTGGTATAATCTGCTAGTTAAAAATCAATAAGTTGTTGTATTAACAGCTTATGAAAATATTTCGTTATAAAGATCCGGAATATCAATGTGCCTATTGATGCTATTATATTTCAGAGATAGTAGCGCCTCTACAACCAATCTCTTATATTTATGTTGAATGTTAGAAAAATGTGAACGGGGTTCTATTGTATTAAAAGTATGTCCTGTATTTGAAATATGTTGGGCTATGAGGGATCTAGGGTCGTTATTTCTGATATTTCGGATATGTTCATCAATTCTATCTTTTATATGTCTACCAGTTTCTCCTATGTATAAGCTAGAGCAATTATTACATTTTAATGAGTAGACTGCATTCTTTAAGTGTATGGGTTTTAAGGGGAAACTGTTATTGGTGATAGGGTTTCTAAGTATAGTGCCTAAATTAGGAGTATTGGAAAAGAAGGTGCGGATACCAAAGTTTTTTAGATATTTAGATATGTTAAGGCTCTGAGGGGAAAAATGAATGGTACAGATAGATTTATAACTATGATTAACAGCTGTTTGTAAAGGGTTATGAAAGTATCTCAAAATAAAATTTTTTGGATAGCCCAATGTCAATAAATGTGATAATATGATATTTGTTTCCTGCTGTTTTGATATATCTGTGGTACAATGAGTGAATATGCGCTTAGTTAATGCTTTGACTGTGTTAATTTTATGGCTAATTGGGCAATACGAAGAAAAATGTATGTATGATGGATAAAATGACGGTTTGTAATAAACGCTTGTGGTATATCTATTATCTATTTTTGTGATAAGTATATCTAAGAAAGCTAAAGTGTTATTGGTCTCTGTTTCAACTGTAAAACTTATATCATGGTATAAGTTGTTTAATGTCGATAAAATGTTATCAAGTGAACTGGTTTTGACTATTGCAAAAATATCATCAATATATCTGTGCCATGATAAAATCTCTAAGTGGTATTGTTCAACTATTTGCTTATCTATATGGCGCATAACTATTTCTGATAGAGGGGAAGATAGTGGGCTACCCATGGGTGTACCTTTTGTTTGTTTAAAGTATGCTTGATTAAAATTAAATATACTGTTATTTAAACTAATACTGATCAGGGATATTAATCTGGAAATGGTGTTAATGGGGTAATTATGGTCTGATAAGAATTGTGTTGTGCAATCTATAATAAGTGGATGGGGTAGACTGGGGTATAAATTCACCACATCAAAGGATACCATGATGCTATTGGGTAGAACCGGTGACTGTTGAATATGGCTCAAGAAATCCGGAGTAGAAGATATGGATGCCGAGGCCCCACCATCCCTGAGCATAGGAGAGAGTAACTTGGCCAGGAAGGAAGACAAAGGAGCTGCTGGGGATAAATGATATGCTATTATAGGTCTAAGTGGAATATTGTCTTTAACATATCTAAATATCTAAAAAACTTTGGTATCCGCACCTTCTTTTCCAATACTCCTAATTTAGGCACTATACTTAGAAACCCTATCACCAATAACAGTTTCCCCTTAAAACCCATACACTTAAAGAATGCAGTCTACTCATTAAAATGTAATAATTGCTCTAGCTTATACATAGGAGAAACTGGTAGACATATAAAAGATAGAATTGATGAACATATCCGAAATATCAGAAATAACGACCCTAGATCCCTCATAGCCCAACATATTTCAAATACAGGACATACTTTTAATACAATAGAACCCCGTTCACATTTTTCTAACATTCAACATAAATATAAGAGATTGGTTGTAGAGGCGCTACTATCTCTGAAATATAATAGCATCAATAGGCACATTGATATTCCGGATCTTTATAACGAAATATTTTCATAAGCTGTTAATACAACAACTTATTGATTTTTAACTAGCAGATTATACCAAATATTAGCATATTCACATTTCTCTTATTATTTATTTTGTATATCACACATAAAATATAATTTTTTTCTCTTAAAAATAATTTGTTAAGGCCTTACACTCGAGACACGAGACTCTCACTTGATTTACCTGATTCGTACATAAGACATAAAACTTAAATGTTATCTCTCTATTTTCTAATATTTATTTATTATTTATACTAAATATTTGTATATATATAGACGAATCTTGATTTTGTATAATTTTATTCCTGTAGAAGGGCGACTTTGTGCCCGAAAGCTTGATCATTTGTTCATAAAAGAAACTTATCCTCCTTATCTTTGATTTTTCTTTCTTTATCAAGAAATATACTGTATATAGCCTAACCCCAGTATTTTCATACCCGTTTAATAGTAAAATATCGATATACAAGGATCTATGAGAATTGCTATATATAAATAAATCACAGTATACAAATACAATAATTAACGGTATTAAGAAATATTATTTAAAAGGGCGTACCTGGATCTGTAAAAAAAAAAAAAAATCTTTTTCTTAAAATATTTCGAGAGATTGCTCCCTCTTTATTAATTTATTTCACAGTTAATTTAATTTACAAATTATTGTAGATCATATGAAAACAAATTTGTCATTGGTCATATAATCTTGTTATAACCCTTTTATATAATCTTAATTAATGGATCGCCTTTTGATTCAAAGGTATTAAGAAAGTTTTTATTAACACACATTGGTAAAACATGGAAGAATGCTTCAAGAAAACGCTACAATAAGAATACATAGATGTAAGTAGAGACTAGAAGGTATTCAACAAATACAATCCGTGGTCCCAAATATAGCGAGGACTTATCAGTTTAGCTCTTGTCTAACTAATGGAACACAGAGGGTGGATCAAATCGGGTAGATACACAAGTATAGCGGTACCACAATTCACTTATACCAACCCTATTTATTGTATTATCTAACACCTACTATTCCTTTATTTATATTTTTATTGTTTGGTATTCTTCTAACAAAGGATAGAATATTATTTGTAGGCGTTAATTTTCGATTTTTAATATAAATATATATCATAATTTGTATAATATCCAAGCGGTATATTATATTTTCGCCAAAATAAGTATGTAAATATGTTAAGCTTGTGTTAAAATGTAAATATGCCAATTCATCCATTTATAAGAACTGTACAAAAATAAACGTGGCAGACATCGCGGGTGAATGCTACGGCACGTCGCGGGTGCGCTGCTCACTTGGCTGGAACTA